GATGCGTCCTTGTCATTTCTTTCCACATCGCGAAGGTGTTCTCGGAATCGGTCATCCAGTCGTCTTCCTGTTTCGCCGATGTATAACTTATTGCAAGAAGTGCAAGTTCTGCAATAAATAATATTGGCGGAGGTACACGTAAAGTAATCAATGATCTTAATGGATCTTCTGGGTCCCGATATTTTCTCTACGTTATGAATGAAAGGACAAGTTTTGCATCGTGAGCGAGTGCATTTAAAAGTTCCAGATTGGTCATTGGTTTGAAATGAACTCCTGACTAAAAAGTTGCCTATGTTTTTGTCACGTTTGAATGAAATAAGTGGGGGTTGCGAAAAGATAGTGCCAGTCTCTGAATCGTTTTGGAGTAATTTAAAGTTTTTAAGAATGATAGATTTAACTGTGTGGTTGTGGAGTGAAATGTAAGAGTAAATGGAATGCAGTCAGTGTTTTCTTTCTCGGCCGTTTGTCGTGCTGAATGTCGATCGATTTGTTGGGCACGGTGGTAGCCCGCTTGAGCGACAGAAACAGGATAGCCACGTTTATCGAAAATCTGGCACATTGCCTCTGATTTTTTCGGAAAAATCAGAGTCGTCACTACATAAACGACGAAGTCTGAGAAACTGTGAAATACCCAGGAGGGTATGGGTGAGATTAAAATTAAGAGGTAGAGAAGAAGTTAAAATCAACCCTCAGGTATATACTACCCAAGAGGGTATAGAAGAGATTAAAATTAAGCCTAAGGTATACATTACCAAAAAGGGCATTGGAGAGATCAAACATAACCCTGAGGTACACACTACCCAAGAGGGTATAAAATGAGATTAAAAGTGAACTTCAGGTATGCTCTGCCCAAGAGGGTCTAAAAGAGATTGAAAGTAATTCTCAGGTAAACAGTACCCGAGAGGGCATAGAAGAACTAAAAAATAACCGTCAGGCATACACTACCCAAGAGGAAATATGAGGGATTTAAAATAACAAAAGGGTAAAGAAGAGATTGAAAGTAAACAACAGGTATACACTACCAAAGTGGGTAGAGAAGATATTAAAAATAGCTTTCAGGTCCACACTACCCCAGAGGGTATAGAAGTGATAAAAAAGTAACACTCTGGTATACACTACCCAAGAGGGTATAGTAGAGATTAAAACTTACCCTCAGGTATACCGAACCCAAGAGGGTATAAAAGAGATTAAAAATAACCCTCAGGCATACACTAGGAAGGATTTAAAATAACCATCAGTTATACACTAACTAAGAGGGTAGAGAAGATATTAAAAATAGCTTTCAGGTCCACACTACCCAAGAGGGTATAGAAGAGATCAATAGTAGCCCTCAGGTATACACTACCCAAGAGGGTATAAAAGAGATAAATAATAACTCTCAAATGTACAGCACCCGAGAGTAAATAGAAAAACTAAAAAATAACCCGCAAGTATACACTACCAAAGTGGGTAGAGAAGATATTAATTATCGTTATAGAGCCACCCAAGAGGGTATAGAAGAGTTTAAAAATACCCCTCAGGTGTATACTATCCAAGAAGGTATAGAAGATAATAAAAATAACCCTCAGGTGTACACTATCCAAGGGAGTATAGAAGAGATTAAAAAAAACCTTAGGTATACACTACCAAAGTGGGTAGAAAAGATATTAAAAAAAGCTTTCAGGTTTACACTACCCAAGTAGTTAAAGAAGATATTAAAAGCAACCCTCGTGTATCCCTAAAGATGCATTGCTTTCAAACCACAGACAGAAAAATGCTGTCGTAGTGTGTCGCTACACTAGCTAATTAACCTGTCTTCATGTGTCAGTTATGGCTCTTTTAATTCATTCTGCATGTCCTCAAGCTTCCAACACACCTTTAAGCTAAATTCATGCAGTGTTTGTTTCTGGCGCACTGTGTTAATTTGATATGGGGTAAGCTGTATCTTGTAGTAGAAATCAATTATTTATATTGTATCTTTTTCCATAGTGAGCAAGTAATGCGCTGGCAAATTAACACCAGCTTAGGTATTTGAATTATTAGCGTCAGTAGAAAATAATCGTTCCTTTGCTTTTTACTTACTCAGGTCATTCTGAAAGACATGAATATGAAGGGTAGTGTCAATAGAAATTACTTTGAGATCGAAGGTGAAGGAAAAGGAAAGCCTAAGGAGTAAGTGCCTCTTAAAAGACAGACCACGATGAATTATTTAATTATTATGCATCACAATTTATTGTTAAACAAAGAGTTCAATAAGATCACATTACATTTGTCAAATAAGGCCTGATATTCCGTTATCAATGATTTTTGGAAATTACCTAAATGAATAAAGACTTTTTTAAAAAGCAAAATGAACAAGATCAAAGATACATAAGAAGATTTTTATTAAGTATGAGCTTGGTTTTATCCGCGTTTGCAAATTACCAACAGTCTATATATGACATCTACTTCTTCTTCTGCTTCCAGAATTAGGCGAAGTGGAAAGCCACTGCAAATTATCGTATAAAAGCTCAGTCACAGCTAAATTTATTTGCAATACTTTAATTTCCTACAACCTAACAAGAAAGGTTAAGCATTATTTTATTTATTATGTTATTATGTTCTCCCTAATTTTCGTTTATTTCAGGTCATACAATAACCGTTCCTGAAAATAATTTCCAACACTCGTCTTATCTTATTCCAGAGGAATACGGAAGTCCACTTATTGGGTCACTAAAGGAGGACCACTCTCATTTTCCTTTGATGTACTGTCGTCAGCGTTCAAATATAGAAACAGATGCTTCACCGAATACCCTGCCGACATGCCCGACTTTTTCGAACAAGCATTTCCTCCTGGAATGTCATTTGAAAGGACCTTTAAAATTTGAGGATGGAGGACTTGCTACAGCCAGTGGACACATTAGGTATAAAAGTGACGTTTAGTTTGGGATTAAGATAATACTCTTTAAAAGAAATCTTCAAAGTCATTTTCATTGTCCTGAGGGCAATTTATCTGAGCTCAGGTAAAAATAACCATGAGGGTATAGAAGAAGTTATCCTCAGGTATACACTACCCAGGAGGTATAACAGATATTAAAAGTAACTCTCAGGTATACACCACCTAGGAAGGTGTAGAGGAGACTAAAAATAATTCTCAGGTATACCCTACCCAAGAGGGTATAAAAGAGATTAAAAGTAACCATCAGGTATACACTACCCAGGAGTGTATAGAACAGCTAAAAAACACCTTCAGGTTTACTCTTCCCAAGAGGATAGTGGTGAGATTAAAAATAACCTCAGGTATACACTACCTAAGAGGGTAGAGAAGAGATTAAAATCAACCCGTAGGTATACACTACCCAAGAGGGTATAAAAGAAATGAAAAAGAAGCCTTAGGTATAAACTAACCAAGAGAGTATGGGAGAGATTTAAAACAACCCTTAGGTATACCAACCCGGTTTATATGAGAGACTGAAAATAAATCTTCAACTATACACTATCAAAAAGGGTATAGAGGAGATTAAAACAAACCCCCAAGTATACACTTCCCAAGAGGGTATCAAAGGGATTAAAAATAACCCTCAGACATACACTACTCAAGAGGGTATAGGAGACATCAAAGATAACCCTCAGGTATACACTACCCAAGAGGGTACAAAAGGGATTAAAAATAACCCTCAGATATACACTACTCAAGAGGGTGAAAGAATCAAAGAGGATGCATCGATTCTCTGTTTCTCTGATGATCTTATCTACGCGTGAAATAAAGATTCTATAGGGCTATTGTTGGTGGCTTGTGAAATTTGCTAAGTAAAACTTATTCTCGTGGCGGCACTTAGAAATGACTTCTGTTCTTTTGTTTAACATCCACCAATGCGCCTTTGTTTGACAAAATTGGATCACTAACCAACAAATTGTTATAAACAGTCTAAAATCTAAGAAGAAGGAATCGAATGATTACT